GTTCTTGCACATGTGTATCTGATGTTTCATGAATTTTTGTCAAGTTGTTTCAAGTACTACATATTGCCTGTTGAGGTACAACCAAAAGCAAGGCCTGCCCTTCTCTTGAAAAACTTGCACTGTAAAAGGGTAGTAGACATGATGTAGGCATGCTGGAAAGAGATATTTGATGGCTCTACTCCCATGAGTATTCAGGGTTGCATGAGCTTGTTTTAGTGACTAAAATAGTAATAGTTAAAAATGTATTTATGCTCCTCAATACAGTTGCTGTACAGCTAGGAAGGGGGGTGGGAAATGGATTTAAAAACATAAAACTAGAGGAAGGAAAGGACTGGGTCATGAGCGTTCTCTGGAGAATGAGCTGATGGGAATTGAGGAGGAGGACTACCTCCAAATTGCAAGAATTAGAGCAGAGTATTTTTTGTGTTTAAGCTTCTGAAGTGCCTCGGGGTGCTACAGGATGAAAGTTTTGTGTACTACATAATTGTAACTAACTTTTTATGGGGAACATTATTGCGTGTAAAATGGATTGTTTTGTGGATGGATAAAATCTTATTTTCACTTTATGCATTATAGTATGTATCTCAGCATTAATTTCTTCCTTTCTAAATTATTAATGCTACCTTGTAAAAGAATATGTAAGAAATGTTTTCTCCATTAGTCCTGGAGGTCACGGTCATGTAACTTTTGGACCCTTTCATTCTGAGCTATTTTCATTGTAATATTGACCTGTGCTTACCATAGTTTAAAACTGGTAAGTTGCTTGCTAGCTATTTTTCCTTTGCTTCCTGGATGGCTTGTGCCCACCATAATTAATTGTTGTTGATTCTTTTTCTTGGCTTGATGACTTAAAATGTTTAGAATGTTAGAATGTATTTAAGTTTACAAGTAGCGTTGCTTAGCCATCATATTTAGCTAATATTAATGATGCATGCATCTCTCAAATTAAGTAAACATAATTAATTGGAAAAATGAAAAGGGGATATTGATCAGATTCTAGATTTTGCTGCAAGGAAGAGAGAGAATATAACTACTATAAAACTAAAAATGCGAATGAGAAGTTTTTTAGTTAAGTGGAAGCTTTTTTCCTTTTGGTTTTTTTTTTAATTCTAATGCTTTAAGCTGACAATTTTAGATAATGGAAACTAACTTGAAGACATACCTATGAAGCATGATGCTTAAAAATAGGCATAATATAATATATGGATAGGAGACCAAGTCTAGGTAATCAGCAGAGCGCTGAAATGTAATTAACCCTTCTTTTGATGAAGTTCTAGACATGCAAAGAAGAGAGCAAATATTTTAAGCCACTAGTAGTCATTTGAAGGGTTTTCCTCAGTGAGACAGACAGTTAACATGAAGCTTAAAGAAAGTGGTCTGTGTTCAGGCCCAGGAAATCCTGGGTAGAACAAATATTCACATTCAGGGCCATAAGAGAACAGTGCATGAAATAACATCACAAATTTTGATGATGTCCGAAAGGCCTTTAAGAGCCTCACAGATATGCACTGTGGAACATTATTGAGTCTCTCAGAATTCCATATAAACCAACACCATTATGGTAACAGAGATGTGAGGTATTGTGTAAGGTTGAACGGACAGTTGAGAGTAATTCAGAACGAACAATGTTATGAAACAAAACTAAATTCTCTGTTTGCTATGGTTCATTTGCTGTGGATTGTAGAATGAAGAAGTGTACGGCACTATCAACACTAATGCACCTTGGGTAGGTGGCAGATATCTAGAATTTCCTGATTTTTCTGGTGAGCAATATCTTCAGAAGTCTACAACGCTGCTAAAAACAGTCAGCCAAGTAAGGATCGTAATCAGTAGTATCAAAATGAACATCCTTGGGGCCAGATATTAAAGCAGCAATGTTACCCCCTGGTTCTTAGGGCATCTGGTTCTCCTCTAAAATGCAGAGGGAGCAAACAGCAGGATCGATATTGCCTGAAAGCATGCTTCAATTTTCTTCAATCAAGAGCCCAGTTATCTTTTTAATAAATCAGTTTTCTTGAGCACCACAAAGTATTGACTTCAAGCATGCATATAGATATAATCGTAGCAGTTTCAGTAATCTTAGCAAAATATGATCTTAGCAAGCAAGTAATTGTATATTACCAGTCCTAATAATATGCGACTTCAGAGTTGACTTCCAGAGCAGGCAAGGTTCCTTGAAGAGAAAGATCAGATATCTTCAGTTCTCAGGCATTGTCAGGGTGGGGAAAAGGAGAAGGAATAGCTTTCTTTTGTTCAGGTAGTAATACTTATAGTCCTCTAGTCACATAGCCAGTTAGACAATTTTTCTTGTTTTTATCAACAACCTGGTTTGTCTCCCCTTTATCGCGGTTTCTTTTCCCTCTCCTTGGTACCAGGAGCCATCTGCTTCAGATATGGGTGGAATGCACCATAACAAACCCTTTTATTCATAACAGACCTCTATCATAGACTCTTGCAGAAAAACAAGCTGCCTTAGATCCTTTTCCCTGTAGGGAGCAGGTCATACAATAGCATCACTCCATGAATGCACTCTTAGCCTACTTATGCCAAGTCTTCTTTAGGCCTTGCAGGCCTAAGAAACCATTTCAGTCCTGTTAAGCATCGAGAGGCTGAACTATATCCACAGCAACACCAGGGAGATGATCCTGCCTCAGGCAGGGGGTTGGACTAGATGACCTCTGGAGGTCCCTTACAGCCTTTCTTCTCTATGCTTTTATATGATGATGAAGGGCAAAAGTGTCAAGAAGGTAGAACGGCTCATTTGCCCTAAGCACCATCATACAAGAGACATCAAAACTATGGAAGGCAGTCACAACGTTTGGTAAACTCAAACACACCATACAAAAATCAACGATACTGAGAGCGTTCAGCGAAAGGTAATCTCCTTGCTATAAGGGTGACAGGGCTGGAGATCTACCAAAACATTAAATTAGTCTCCAATATCAAGTGAGATTTTTTTGAGCATTGGATAGAAGGCTTTGTCACCAACAGAGAGATCCAATATATCACCAAATACTTGACTCTCCTTTCATTCTTTCTATCTCTTTAATGTTGCTAGGATAATGATATCAATCCCTATTCACAGTCCTGACCAAGTTATTTTGATAGTTATCATCTTCAGTAGTTTGAGAGATGAAAGAAGTTCCTG